AAAAAAAAATCCTAAATGAAAATGGGAGGAATGCTATTATAAATTAAGACGCGGTTAGATCGTGAGCCGCATTGCTTACCTATGGATATGGTCCAAACTGCAGCAATTTTCATAATAGCCTTGGTGCGGGAATTGAAGCGGCTGTGCTCAATGGGATTGCGTATTGCTACATACCGATCAAGAGAGATGGCACAGAGATGCATTATAGATGCAGTTGAAAAGAGCACATCTAGGGAAATCCATATAGGGCACAACTGTTTAGGCAAAGGCCAAGCATAATCTGAAACATAGAGAGAAAAGAAATGAAAGGAATAAAAGAAAAGGAAATAATCTGGGAAGCGAGGCCATCATTTTGGAGAAAAACAGAGGATATTTTAACTCTGCGGCCAGTGATGCCCAAGGGGCTCCGTGAGCTCCCGCACCTCTGCTTGCYGTGACGGGCTTTACACCAGCAGCTAAAGGAGCAATTTGGCARTGCTTCAGGTGGGCATTCAAGCTCCACTTCTTCCACCTTTCCCCCAAAGCATTCACCGAATTAAACATCACATTCAGTTATAATTGTATAATCACATTCTTTTGATGGATTGCCTGGCGCTGCCTGGCATCAACTTGACTCGGATCCGCTCTAAAGCAATACATGTAGGGCCCTTCAGAGAAGAACGGCTGCAGACTTTTCCAAAGAGAGCTACATTGCATTTGGATTTCTTCATTTCACCTTAAACATCCTTAATATACATGGCACCAAGTGGCATGCCTTAACACCTGCAGTGCTGCCTCCTCATGGAGCTGCTGGGAGTGCCCTGCTCCAGGTTGGAAGTYCTTCAGCAGCCCCTTTTGCACCACGGAGCATCACTTATGGTTGGACTCGATAATCTTGAAGGTCTTTTCCAACCATAATGATTGTATTGACCCAAGTCAGCCACCAGCAAGAGAGGGAACCAGACAGATAGAGCTGATGGCAGTTTGGGCTTCTGCATTTACCAACCCTTTCCTCAGTGCTGAAGCACAGCGTGAGAATAAAAGTGGCCCAGAAAGATGCTCCAGAGGTGCCTGCGTTTAAATTAAAGTGCAGAGAAAACGTGTTTTTCAAATGAGACCCCTACGCACTAGTGCCAGCATGGATTGCACGGGATCAGGAACACGTACTGCCAAGCTCTGCACTTCTTATTCCTCCCCACAAACCAGAGCCATCTGCAGCAGCCCTGAGCAGGGCAGATTTTGCACCTGGCTCAGGAGCTACTCCTGTATCTTCATTCAGAAAGTCAAGGTCTAAACCAGCTGTGATTACCCTGAGGACCCCAATCATTGCCCTGCAGAGGCGGCGCCACGCTGGGAAGGAGGCAACTCTGACGTCCTAATCCCTACGGGAAAGGGGGAAGCGTTAGTCTTGGAAAACGTACAGGACTCGGATCCCAGCAAGGCTTGGCCTAGTCTCCAGGGAGCAGCAGCAAGGCTCTCCTCCAAGGGTCCTTTACTCATGGTAAAGCCCCTGGCATTGGCCACTAGCCCTAATTAATTAATTAATTCAGCCCTAATTGATTGAAACCGCAGATTCCAAGGAGTATTTTCTTGCACATAGAGAGAATAGCTGCAAACAGATCAAAGTAGCATTGCCCTGAAATTACTGCCCAGGTAAACTGTTAGGATGTGCTTAAAATAAAAACACGATATGAAAGCGCTCCTAGTGGCTCATCCTTTTAGTCCATCCTGTCCTAAGTCAGACATTTCAAGAGGAAAAGGCAGTTGTATGAGGTGCAATTTTACTTTTTCCAGTAGTTTCCTAAATGATCTGCGCTAATAAAATGCCACTGTCGAAATGTGCAGGATGGCAGCACACAGCACTTGGCTATAGCTTGATACAAAGGCCATAACATACATCCTGTCTCAAAAGGCAATTTCTTTTAAGTAAAAATGGTGCATTTGGAAAACACCTACACAGCCTTGGAAAACAGTAATTTGGGCAAAAAGAAAAAAAAGTGATTCTAATTTCTGCGTCATATAAATGCACAACCACAGGAGTGTGCCTTGTGACCGTGCCAAGAGGCAAATAAAGATTAAAATAAAAAGCTCTGCTAACAATGCTATACATTTAAAACAATCTTAAACTCAGTCCTATCTTTAGTGCACTAGCTGGCAAACCCTATAGGACAGTACTGATGTTAATTAAATGAATCTCGCTGGTCGAACCCTAAGGAGGTATTTGTTTTCCCTGTGTATAATTGAGTTGCAGGGGGTGTTTTTGCCTCAGGACATTTGGTGGGTGCTGCAAGTTTATATTGGACAAAACCATGGAGAAAAATGAAAATTCAAAGAGAAAAATGCCCACCCTGAGGATTAAAGTGCAGAAATACCTTCTCTTGGGTTTTGGGCAGCTCTCCCTGCTACAGGCTCTGCCAAGTCTCACCTCACCATCTTTCTGGAACTGATTTGCTATCAGGTGACACTTGCCTTAAATTTCTGAGCTTTGCACTGACGGGACAGCAACAATGAAATTTAATTACTTTTGCTAGAGATTTTATTGCACGTAGAAACAGGGCAGTTTACCAGCAGTGTTATGGGCAATGTGCTGCACGGTGCTACCCGTCCCTGCTGCAGGAGGGGGATCTCACGGCAAAATTAAATGCATGGAACTGCTCCAGATTTTAAGAGAATGGAAGAAAGAAAGGATGGAAGGATGGAAGGATGGAAGAAAGGAAGGATGGAAGGATGGAAGAAAGGAAGGATGGAAGAAAGGAATCTTAAAAGCTGCAGCTGAAAGCAATTTATGGAACTACAAAACAGACCCAAACTGACTGCAACTCCCTTGCAGACGCCAGAGCCACCAGTTAAACCTCATGCCTTGCTCTGTGACAGATCTGCTATCACACCCAGGGACAAGATGCCTGCTTACACCATCATAAAACATTGGGTATCTATTCACACACACATATATATATAAAACTCAGAATTAACAGGTGTAAAACAAGAATGACAGATCTTCTTCTAGAACAGCCTCACTTATTGCTGGCTTGGCCCAGGAACTGAAATATATGTAATATTTATCCTGCCTTTTCCTAAATAACACTTTGGGCTCTGATACTTCCTGCAGTTACAGTCTCAAAATAATCGAACTAGAAATGGAAGGAAATCTTTATTTGGACTGAATCCAGGTCCCGGTGTTAAGCCTGGCCTCCCAGACCTATCCTGGCAGCTYTATCCATCTGCACCACAGGTCTAACCAGACTTTCCAGGATTCGCTTTAAAGATTCGTAGCTGTTTGCAGAAACAGAAAGCAATTCCCTATAGTTTTAACACCACTGCGTTGCATTATTCCTAAGGGAATGCAAGAATTTAAAGGATCTTCTTGCCACTTTCTTATCTCAGAACCCAACTATTTCCCAGGGATTGCCGGTCCCAGCCCCAGCGCAGCTCCTCRTGGTGACACTGAGCCCAGCATCAGCTGCTCCCCAGGGCAGCACTGCCAATATTTGCAATTTCATCATCACTACAGTTAAATGTTATGTTTTTTCTTAAATATTAAATGCCCACAGGCTTACACGAGACCTTGAGTTTATGCCTAGAGTATTGAGGTTGTGTTTTTCTACAGAGAAAAAAAAAAAAGCAATATGCTGAAGCTATAAGGATAGTGTAAATATAACTTAATCCACCATTGAGAAACCTTCCCAACTGGCAGGAGAGAGGAAAAAAAAAGTGGTTGCAAAGACAGGTCCCTCCAAAAGCAGCTAGAATCACAGGAAAAAGGAAATCATGTGTCCTAGGCATGGAGAACACAAAGCATGGGCTTTGTGGTTGCACGTGATGATCTGGAAAGTCTTTTTGAACCATAACGAATCTATAATTCAATGATTCTACAGCCATTTCCCTGCTATGGGAACCACTCCCACAGGGGATACTGTGCCTTGGTCTTTGCTCACCAGCTCTAGCTGCTAATTGATGCCACCATRTTTTATAGCAAATTAAACAATAGACTGTTGGAAGAATTTTAGACAACAGTGTTGGGTTTTGCCTTCCATCCAGGCAGGCACTGACTTGCAGTGTGGACAGGACTCGTGAGGAAGGAGCAAATTTAAACCCAGAATAAATGTAATTATGTGATCTACAGAAAACTTGCTTGCCCATCATTTAAGTAGTTTTCAAAAGGTAAGGAACCAACTTCATTGCAAACTATGCTTAAAATGTCCTTGCTAATAAAAGGGGATGTTTAAGAAGAAAACACATGGAACAGCTTTACCTTCCCCAAGGCAGCATCTCTTCTCTCAGGGAAATACCTATTTTGGGTATGACCTGTCATTCCTCGAATCCGTATGTTGCCTTAATCTTTCCATCTACCAGTGGAAATGAGAATTATGTTTGGAAAAAAAAAAAATCAGAGGAAAAATCTGTCGGTTCAATAGCATTCTTTGTTGCAACTTCAATATCTGCAGCTTTATCTGGAAATTGCGTGTAGAGCGATAAGGGCAATGGGATGATTAATTAAATCAGTATTGCCAATATGAAGGCTATTTGCACGCACTGATCACTTTGCACAAATCTGAGATAAAGGGTATTGGTGACACCTTGTCTAAACAAAGCTGTAATCTCATACAATATTAATCTTGGGAGAAATTCTCGCCACTGATGCTCTAGACRTCAGGACAGCAGCCCTTGCTCCAACTTCCCGCGACCCGGTTATGAATCATCCTTCACACATTATTTAAACAAGTAATAAAGCAATAATTCAAACAACATTACATTGGAAAACAAGCCGAAAAGCAGAGATTAATACCATTTAAGTGCAATAATACAAATATTTTCTAAAAAGCTGTTATATAACAAAGTGCACAAAACATATGAAAAGAGGAGGTGTTTTTGCCTACTTTTGATGAAATTGAAAGTGATCCATCATCACAAGACATATCTGCCAAAACACGCAGCTCGCTTGAGGAAACAAAAATTGAGATCTGCAAACGATCTGGTGTTATTCGCGGAGCAGGGCTGGCTGCTCGGCTGTTACTTTGCTCGGAGCAAAGAGACCAGACAAAGTTCAGACCATGGCTCTATGCCACAAGCCCGAACTGCTCTAGGGCCTAGTGAGAGCACCCAAAATCACACGAAAGATTTATTTTTTTGAGGTCCTTAGGTTGTTTTCAGCATAACTCAGCAGYGATGGAGATGTCAGGGACACCTCGGCAGCTCCTTGGAGCCCACCTGGGATTTATCCATGGTCTCAGCTTGCTCCTGCTTCCTGCTGAGCCAAGAAAAGGGACCTGGATCCAGAAAAAAATGCCTCATTGCAGAAGG